CAAAATTCAGTAGAAGATATTTGTATTAAATGCACATATACTGCATCCAGTATGGTTTTGTTAAAAACAGTTTTCTGTGAAAAACTGTTTTTCAACAGAAAATTGGGATTTTAACTAAATGAACATTGTCATGGATAATGTCTGCTTTCCATAGAAACTTTTAACTTTGCTCCCAAAATGTATGTGTTTTTGTTTTGTTGCTTGGTGAAAAAACTTTTGTTTTTTTCATCAATATTTTCTGCAGAATTTTTTTCTCAGTCGGTTCTAGGTAGCAGTAGAATAAAACACTCCTTGAAGACTTTTTATACTTAAAAATCACAGCTTTGAAATCTTTTTTTCTTCCCCTGCTTTCCCCTCCCAATAAAAACATGTCGTCTCTCTGAATAGCGTCAGCTTAAAATTGCGAGGTTAATATCCAAATCAAATCTCAAGATAGAAAGATCAGTTAATCAAATGTAATGTTCTGAACAGTTTAAAAGCACAAAGCTGTGATGGATAGTGAAAAAGGAGCTTAAAACCATATGTCTGCACTTTTAAGGATTGGGGAAAAATGTATTTTGTGCTTAGTTTAGTTGTTGAACTTTCCAATTTACATAATCCATACAAGCACAAATTAGGTGAGTGAATTTCGTCCTTATCAAAGTGCAGCTGCACAGATTTTTATAGAGTTGAAAGGTTCCAGCCTGTTGAACTGTGTCCAAAGAGAATGGAGAGTCAGGGTTTTTCCACCTTCTACAAATAACTGACCTAGCATTCAGTAGCAAAAGTTGAATTAGCATCCAATTATCTCTGTCACATTCCACAGAGCATTCAAATACTGCAAGATACAAAATTCCAGAGCGCTTGGCACTGAAAAGCAGGGGAACTTTTTTCCCAATGAGGTTTATAACCAAGGAACTCTGAATTAATTTCAGGCCAGGTCTACACTGGTGGAGAAAGTCAATGCAAAATACGGAACTCCAGCTATGAAAACTGTAGTTGGAGTCCACATACCTTGTACCTATTTTTCTGGGGTGGCCTCACAGTGGGAGGTCAACAGAAGAAACTCTTCCATTGACTTCCCTTAATCCTCACAACTGCAAAGAGTTCTGGGCTCGATGGGGGCACCCTCAGCATTCAATTTAACAGGTGTTTATTAGACCCGCTAAATCAAATGCCAGAAGATCGATCTGGAGCACTGATCTTCCTACAACTGTAGTTGTGGTCTCAGGAAGCAAGGTTCCCTATGGAATGCTGTGTATTCAGTATCTGTAAGAGAAGTGACTTGCCATCCTGCTCACTTTCATGATGTCTGATGCCATGAGTTACAATTCCCTATTGTAGCTCTAACTAATTCTGTTGAAATAGAACAAAGACATGTTCGTGCCCATATCTCTGATTTGAAAAGATGTGACAGCTTCATTTCCCATTTAATCAGGAACTTTCATTTAAGATGCAAGATAGAGAAATTGCTTTGTATCGTTTCTCACAACCTTGTGAGGCTCTTTATTTAAAACCAGGGTTTGTTTGGAAGGAAAAGTTTCACTAGTACTAGTAACCTTTATAGTGCTTTGGGTTATGTCTCTCAAAAGTTCTGGGCTGATATTCTAGCTCCAGGATTTCAACCCTAGTCTTTTGCCCATCTTTTCTGTCTGTCTCTCTTTTCTTCTTTAATTTTTCATCTCTCTGTGTAAATTTTCCACCACTTCCTCCGTCAGAATTTTCTGTGGAAGAGTAGGCTTAGTGCTGCCTTCCCCCCTGTGACGTAGTGGGGGTACTTGCTGGGCTGTGGTGACCCCTGCTGTCTGGAGCAAGACCCAGCAGGGAAAACCTCACTAGGCAGAGGTAATGCCAAACTTGTTGAACCAGTGGCTAGACACCCCCCATGGAGAGGAACAAAGGAAGGTGGAATGCTGCCCTGGCTGGGGGGCAGGGCTGGAAGGGAATTTAGTTAGTTGGTTGGTGGCTGTCTGGGAGCATGGAGGAGACAGCCTAGGGAAGGGGCTGGAGTTTAGGGGCCCAGTCTCCCCCATCTCAAGGGGGCCTGAGGCATCCTAGCCCAGCTCTGTGACCAGATTACATCTGTGCTGTGCTGTATCCTGGAGAGGCAATAAACTTCCTCTACTCCACCGGCTGGTGCAGTCTGTTTGTGCCATTTCGGGGTGCAGGAGACGGGGGACCCCAATGTGCCGTCACACCCCCACCCCACTTCTGTGGCTGAGTTTGGTTTAGCAACTCTGTGTTCTCTAGTGCCCCTGCCAACCCTCACGGCAGGCCTTTGGCAGTCTCTCATCTCGTCACTTGGCACTCTGAACCCTCTGAATCTTATTTAAGTCCTCATCTTCCAGGGCAATGGAAAGCAAAACAAACAAAAGTCTGACAAATAATTTCTACACGTTGTGTCCAGTGACTCTAGATCAATGTTCCCTTTTAGCTGTGTGGCAGCACAGTTTATGACTCAGCCTGCCCAGTCAGTCAGCTCTGTGCATAGCGCTCTGAGCCTCTGACTGGGCGGGCCTGTGCTGCTGTGCAGTTTAGAGGGAACGCTGCTCTGGACCCAGTCATTGTTGCATCCTCCTCTCCGGGTTTGCAAGTGTCCTTATCCCCCAAAGTTAAGTGGCTTCACACCACTTTACCAGTGACTGGAAGTCAAACCAGGCCCACCCCTTACACTTGGTTCTAGTCCAAGGACTCTAGGACAAACAGCCAAGGTCCGCTCTATCAAACACCTTGCCTCTGGACTTCTTCCTACTATTAATCTTTCTTTAGGGGGAGGGATAGCTCAGTCGTTTGCGCATTGGCCTGCTAAGCCCGGGGTTGTGAATTCAATTCTTGCGGAGGCCACTTAGGGATTTGGGGCAAATATTTGTCAGGGATGGTACTTGGTCCTGCTGTGAATGCAGGAGACTGGACTCGATGACCCAGGTCCCTTCCAGTTCTAGGAGATAGGCAATCTCCATTAATTTATTTCCTGGTAACAAGCCACACTTCCCAGGGCTTCTCCTCAGAGATCTAGTTCCTACTTGATGTCAGGGTCAACCACAGGAGCTTGCTCCAAACCTGCGTCTTTCTCCCATGCCCCAGGCTTCCATCACTTATAGGCCTCCCACAAGTTTCTCCACTTTATATTACCCTGCTGCCCAGTGAGTGACTGCAGAGTTCTTTGTGTCTCGCTGCAGACCCTTAAACTTCCGTCTCAAATCCTCAGAGATCTAGTTCCTACTTGATGTCAGGGTCAACCACAGGAGCTTGCTCCAAACCTGCGTCTTTCTCCCATGCCCCAGGCTTCCATCACTTATAGGCCTCCCACAAGTTTCTCCACTTTATATTACCCTGCTGCCCAGTGAGTGACTGCAGAGTTCTTTGTGTCTCGCTGCAGACCCTTAAACTTCCGTCTCAAA